GACACGACCATTGAAAACACTATAAATAGAGATTGTAAAACGGCTGGAGGCTATATAGGATTTAGCGCTAACTTTGCAGCCACACAGCGGTGGGTCTTGAATTATTCGAGGCGCAGTTCATATACGCGCATTTTTCGTGAGCACTTATCTCTCGTGTCTAACCAAAGAAACCCACACAAAGAGAGCTTGCACCGTCGCGAATCAGAATAGACATAGAAGCTGTAACAAGCGTGGTTAATGTTCTCGAACATGTGTTCTGTAGTCCGTGGAGCAATGAAAATCAGAACTTGATTAGTCTTTCTACTGGACTAGCAGCCACTGCTGAARTCMGAAATGATCTAATGCAGTCTAATACCAAAGGCAAGAATGCATGTAAGGAATTCATTGCAAAACGATGTTCGACAACCTCTACTCTTGGATTTTTTGATACTCTTAAAAAACTCAAGCTCAAGTCGTTCAAGGACCTCAAAGCTGTTACAAAGGTCCGCACAAAGGATGCTGTCATCCCGATCCGGCTAGATCGTGACTTATTTGCGCGGATGGCGTTATTAGGACAGTTTCGCAAAAAAGACATGCGATCAGTGTTCAYATATCCTCTCGGTCAATTACCTWGGGCACTAGCAGATCCATATGGATTACCAAGAAAGACCAACAAAGSAAAGTTAGCRCAGCAGTTGGAAAAGAAAGTTGTTATCACGGATAGMTATCCTCAAAATGCTACAAGTATTCATGACGGTATGGCTGAGCCACATTTTCAGTTGTCGCCGACAAGTTGTTCACASCCTTAACAAGCAGCTCAAGTAAGCGGTTTGACGTTGTATTTGACGTTTATAAGGATATCTCTAGAAAGAATGCAGAAAGACTAAATTGTGGAGCTGGATCAGAGGGAGTCACATATCAAAACATTTTGCCCGGTTATCAAGTTAAGAATTGGAGAAAAGTGTCTCAGCCAACAAAGCTGAAGTTGTACGATTTTTGGTCGGTCAGTGRAAAGAAAAAGAATACCGGGACAGGCTTCGTGACAAGACACTCTTCGTCACTGAAGGGGAAAGATAATATAAAATCACTTCGACAACTGCGAGCATTGTAGCAGAGCTTAACAGCAACCACGAAGAGGCCGACACCCGCATGCTCTTACATGCTCAACATGCGGGAGGCAAGTGCGTCATCCATGCTGACGACACAGACGTTCTAGTATTACTTCTTGRCCACGCCCACAATCTCGGCAAGKGCTACATAAAGAAAGGAAAGGCAGCAAAACGCAGAATCGTCTGAGTCTCAGAAATTGCAGATCAAATAGGAATGCAAACAGCTGATGGTATTCAACAAGAAGCTTGTGAGGCGCTTATTGGGGGTGCATGTATTAACAGCATGCGACACAGTATCAGCTTTCACTTCAAAGGGCAAATGGCGACCATTGCAGCTTGTCTTGAAAAAYAGGGCTTTTGTGGAGACAATGAAGGACATCGGAAAAGAATGGAATTYAAGTGAGACGGCATTTAAGGCAACCGAGGAGTTTGTTTGTCACTCATATGGGAAGAAGGGCAAGAGCGTGGATCTATTAAGATATGAGCTCCACTGTGCAAAAGGTGGCAAGGTTGAGCCCGAGGCACTCCCGCCGTGTCAGTCATCTTTGCGCCTCCATGTGTCTCGTGCGAACTACCAGGTGGCTATCTGGAGAAGGGCTACAGAGGCATGTCCAGACATCCCTTCGCCTCACGGACATGTGTGGAATGTGAGCTCTTCTGGTCTAAATTCCGYGTGGCTTGGTTCCAAACCTGCTCCTGAAGAAGTACTGGAGCTTTTAACTTGTAGCTGCAAGRAGGAGTGCACAGTAGACTTGTGCTCATGCCTTTAAGCCGGTATGAAATGTACCGAATTGTGCTCCTTAAAGTGTGACAATATGATCGACAAAGATGACGAAATTCATTTTCACAGCRTCAGTGATGACGAGGATGACGAGGAATGACGAATAGTTTATTTCAATAGATTAGGTATGGCAAGCCGATTGTAGCAAAATTCAATCTGTGAAATATTCCTTTAATGTATTCATTTTTCATCCAATCCAATCCCCATTATTTCATTCAATGCAATAATTTTTCTATTTTTCATCCAATCCAATCTTAGATTATTTCATTCAATCCAATCATTTGTTGTTGTTTTTTTTATCATTTTTTTTTTATTTTTGTATTCAAATCAATGCCCTTTTTTTCATTCAATCCAATCCTTCATTTTTCATTCAATCCAATCCTTGTTGTTTTAATTCTATTCAATCTAACCCTCGATTTTTCATTTAAACCTGCTTCCGGTTTTATTCAATCTTCCTGGGAAGAGCGCGCGGCCAAATTTTTTATCACGTGATTGAGTCATTCCCGCCAAGTCGCTAACAAACACTTCATAACACCGTTGTTAATCGACTAATATCCAGCTTTTTTGTCATGGAACTCGATAAAGAGAAAGTTCAACGGGTAGCTCAGATGTTGGAGAGCGCCTCTAGCTTGCTTAGAGATGCAGCAGTGTCAAGCAGCAGCAATTCTGATCCTCAAAGTAGCGAAAGACCAAGCAGACAAAGCACAAACGTCGCCGGTCCTCTGCAGTCAGCTCTCGATCACGCTCGTAGTATGATCAGAAATAGCACCAATAGTGGGACATGCCGTCGCCTTAATAGAGCAGAACGACTGCGAGCTGCTGCCCCTGTAAACCTTTTTGGGYGTAAAAAACAACCAGCCAAGAAAGGGAGCAAGAAGGCATTCGAGTGTGCCTTGCTCAAGTGTTTTGGAGATGATGCTGATAACGAAGACCATAACCTAAAATGGGACTCCACAACAACTCAAGGTATAATTCTCTTAGGCGAGGATGACGACGAAAAAGCTGTTAGGGAAGCCATAAAGGATCTGTTTACCAAGAAAATACCCATCCTTGGAGCCAATGATTTCGATTTTGTGAAAGTGAAACAAAAGAAAATCACTAGTCTTGATTTAGGAACCGGTTTTTCTGTTGTCAAGAAGTTATGTGGTCAAGGCTTACTTTATGTCAAGATTAAAGAAGGATTTGAATTTCTTTATGAAGAAGAAAGTAGTACTGATGATGGAAAGGACAAAGGGGCTACTGATGACAAACTTCTAGTTCCTGCATTAGATGGGTTTGATGATGACAAACATCACCTCACTTTACAAGATGACCAAGATGGCGATCATCAGGATTCTAATACGATTGATGAGGCAAGACCTCCAAATAAAACTGATGAAATAGTTGACATAATTTCATCCAAGAGTCTCTCCGATCCTGTTGAAATATTACGACTTCTACAGCAAAAGCTAATAAAAGGGAGAAAGTTGGATGTAACCAACATTGATCTCATTGTTGATTCCARTGAGTCAGATAAGGCCACAAATTTCATTTGTGTTGACAGACAAAACATTCTAAARACAACATTTTCTGAACTAGAATCAGTTGAAGACTTTTGTATAACATTTKAAGTACATTTTATGGGGGAGGTGGCAAAGGACTATGGTGGACCACGAAAAGAGTGGATACGTCTTATGAATTCAGCTATGAAAAAGAAATATTTTGATGCAGGCCTCAGGGAGTATATTGCTGAAGAGTACTATCATGTTGGAATCATGATAGGTATTGCATTGCTACAAAATGGTCAGTTGCTAACTATTTTGCCACTAGATATTATTGAAAATCTTGTGAAGCCAAGCACAGACAAGTGCATTGAGAATCTGAAAAGAGGACTAAACAAGTTTGGTCTTTGCAAGATAATGGAAAAGGCGCCAACATTTCTTCACCTTCTACGACCCAAAAGCAGTTAATTGACTGCAAAGATCATTATACAGATGCTATCACCACTGTATGCTCCAGAAGGTTCGACTGCATTTTCAAGGGAGAAGGAAATCTATAGTCTTTTTGTTAAGTATGTGAGGGAGGTTGCAAGTGGAAGGAGACACCCAATTAACTTAAGTTCCATTCTGATATTTGTAACTGGAGCAGCCGAAGAGCCAGTGCTTGGTTTTGAAAAGCAGCCAACAATCACATTTGTGCAAAGCAGTGGAAATAACCAGGTACATTATACTTTAATATTTCTTTTTGTTTTCAAATAAATGCTATATGCAGCTGTACATTTCATCAATTGTCTATACTTTATAAACATGAACGAATTAAACCTCATGTTTATGGCAAAATGTATAGTGCTATGGTTTATTTATTCTTTCCTTATCTATCTTGACAGGAGTCTAATAAAGTGTYATATGTACCCACTGCCCATACCTGCAGCTACAACTTGGTTCTTCCCAGAGGTCCCTTGATTGGAGAACTGCCCTCTGAAGAAAAACTGTTTGAGATCTACGACCTTGCATTTGCAACCATTTTGGTAACCTGTAAGAACTATTGTTTTTGTTTGAAGATAATACTTTGGATGAATAATATTATATAATATCATTTTAAACATAGCATTAAAATGAAGATAGAGTGCTCTAGAYCACCCTAGCGTAAGCACTCTAATACTAGCTTGTTCGGTCTACTTGGATGCACGTTTCACAATTCATTATACAAACTTTCCCTGGTATTTCCCTAGTATTAATTCTTATTTTCCTAGACAAGTGCACTATACTTACTTCTGCAGTTTGGGAAGGGTTATTCAAAAGCACACGTAATAAGAAAAGTTGAAATGGTTCAAATACACACACTTGCATCACTAGAATAGCATAATGCTTTTTCAAACTTATCTCAGAATTATGAAAGCTGTATYCCATAAACCTTTTATGAAGTATTAATATGTGTTGCATCATGGTCTAGAACCAGTTAGACTTTGTTTGTACTGAAGCTTGACCAGAATGCAACATGATTTAGCATCTCAGAAAATGCCTGTGACACTCTGTTCAAAGCTTTTAATGCTGTTTTCAAAATAATAAAGTTGTTTCATATAAATGTACTTCAAAATGATCATTGTGTTATCCAGTTGTAATNCAACTATACACGAAATGTATTCAAAAGTAAAGAGAATCTTATTTTCAGTCAAAGGATGATTGAATATTATTTACATTCTACATAAAACTAAAAGCGTGAAACATCTCTACCACTAAACACTGGTRAATCTGGCTTATTCTATTGTTTTGCATTGTCTAATTATTGTTAGGGCTATTAATGTATTTAGTACATGTWAATGCTTTTTGTGTTTGTACTCTACTCAAGCTTGGCCTATTTTCAAATTATTTACTAAATAATACATGTATGGTTGATTTTAATTATTTTATGTAGTGTACAATGAAAGAGTAGACCAAAAGATTCTCTAAGCATTTACATAAGACAATAAAGCATTGTCTACCTTGAACTCGTTTACTGATTTCTCCACTAGCTTCATCATATCACTGCTGCATATGTGGCATTTCTCATCATTAGGGCTTGCTTTTAGTTCCCCACAATAGCAATACTTAATTTTCTTTGAAACTCTTACTGGAATGTAAGAATCTGATGCTTTTGCCTTGCCGCCTGCATAGATAACACTGCAAGGATCTTTTTGCCTCAGCCATATCAA